AGGGTACTTTCAACTTTTTGTCAAGTCCCATGTTGTTTCATATGTTTTGGAGGCTGCGCTAGCGCCCCAGGCCAGGGTAGGTGTATACGCCAGGCGTGGACAGCCTCGACAAGTTTAAAAGTTACAAGGGTCAAGATCGTGTTTTCTGTAGACGAAGTAACTCTATCTTGAATGAAGGGGCGGAGCCCCCCAGCATGCAACAAGTAAGAAGTAACCTGCCGCAGGCCAAGGTAGGTACGCCAGGCGCGGACTGGAGGGACAGGCCGCGAGACATCGCGAAGCCTGTTACGACAAGACGCGGTCTGGCGTAAACCTACCTTGTTCGATCCTGAAGTCGTGGTTGAAATATATAGAAAAACCACACACTCAGCAACGCACTGGACACTTGAATCTTCCGTGCAGGGCCAGCTAAGAACCACAAAATGGCTCAAATCAGGCACTCCCAAGTGTATTTTTGGTGATGGGTGAGGGTCCGAGGGATGAGTTGGGTTGTCGGCGAATAGTGCGGTAGTGAGTATGGCGCGCGGGGAGGTGTAGTGGCAGATCGGAGCGAATGTGTGCCCGCACAGCGCCCTAAACGTGTGCATTTTCCTCAAAGATCGCAAAAGAGCCATTTTTGGCTGAGCGATAGCGAAGCCCTTGCCGTGTTTGGGCGCTCCAAAAAGTGACTGGTCGTGAGTCTGTCTGTCCGTCTCTCTGTCTGTCTGTCTGTATGTAATCACTCACGTTTCTCAGCAACTACTGAACGAATAGTATCCAAATTTCACACCTGATGTCTCCTAAACATCCTACAGGGGGAGTTTATCTCAGATTAACAATTATCATCGTTTGAAATATTCCAAACATCGTTTTGAACTAGGTAATTAGCGTGGTTAGGTTGGTAGCAGTGTGTGGCTGACCAATTTCTCATACCGGCTGCCGCGTTTGCAAGCCGTCTGCAAGACGGGTCGGCACTTATGCAAATAAACAAACTAAAGAGCAAAGGGGTTCTCAAATAGGTTCTGAGATAGTTTTTTAACATTCTAGAATGATTGAAACCCTTCCGGAGTGTCAACAGAGGAAAATACGAAAACTGAATGTGAGAATGGTTTGCGTGTTTCGTTCCCCTCTCCCCCCTCGCCCGTCACAGGGGAATCTTCCTTTAGGTCAGTGCACTGTGAGTGTAATTGTGGATTGTAAATAGAATGTTTCCTTTGCCTTTGTGTGCATCTACTGATTTTATTCTCTTTGAAACTATCCTGTTTTTTTTTAAATTTCATAGTAAATGAAATCAGGTAAATGCGTTGAAATTAGAAGACATGTTAATTGTCTTGGTTTGTCTTGGGAAATGACATTCTATTGCAATGCTGCAAGCTAACATAAATATTCTAGTACTAACATCTATTGATTAAAAGAATCCATAAATAGATGTATTTAGTGCAATAAATAATCCATATATTTAGTGCTAATAGATTTTGAATTGATATTGGGTTCAATGACACAATTCAGGTTTTGAGCGGTGGGTGACTTGGTAATTGGATTTAATGACACGATTGCTTTCACTTCACCAAAGTTTGTGTCCGACAACTGGAACCAAGTATTGGTAATGGTTAAGAAGCTGGTTCTCTGAATGTAAGCCCAATGTTAATAGTATACTGTATTCTTTTACTCCAAAGATAAAATATCACGAGGCATGATTAAGGTAAATTATGTTGGCGTATTGAGCAACAAGTGGCCTCTGCATTTGACTTCATGAGACGATTCACTGAATTTGACAAAACTTGTTCTCCGTCGAATGCTTCAGATCAGCCTGCCCTTAACTGAGTCTCTTAATGTGAACTATGATTACATATTCCAGTCTATATTGTTTAATTCACTGGTTTAAAATGAAAGAATGACAAAAGGCTTCTCAAATATAACTAATCAATTTGTGAATTCATTAGTTGGAAGAAAATGATGTATCCAATAGTGAGTCAAGCAGACGAACAGCAAATTAAGCGATTCAATGCTGGCAATGGAATGTTACTCGACTGAAGGAATCGCATTGGTGTGGCATCAAGGTATTTGGTGACGACAAAGGGTGATCCATGAAGACCAACCCAGACCCATTCTTTACCCATTATTGATCAATTTGATATCAATATTTTTCAATCGAATCTCATATTGATTTTTGGAGTGCTGATTATGAAAACCACTTCCATTTCTACTCCAGACTTATATTTTCATCTCAAATAAGGTCATTTCGGACCAAAATTTTCAGGTCGAGTTTAATATTGTTTCCTGCAGTGTTTGATGAGGTGAACTCAAAAATAACTTCAAAATTTTTCCCAGACTCACGCTTTAATAAATTTTGACCAAATTTGGACCAAAATTCTTGAATTGAGTTTGATGTTGATCCCAACAGTTTTTTGTGTGCTGATAACGCAAATCACCTCCATTTTGACTCCAGACTTATATTTTCATCCCAAATTAGGTCATTTTGGACCAAAATTTTCAAATCGAGTTTTATATTGTTTCCTGCAGTTTTTGGTGCGCTGAACTCAAAAATGACTTCCAAATTTTTCCTAGACTCACGCATTACCGAATTTTAACCAATTAAGGACCAAAATTTTGGAATCGAGTTTGACGTTGATTCCAACAGTTTTTTGTGTGCTGATAACGAAAATCACCTCCATTTATACCCCAGACCTACATTTCACTCAATATGAGCCCACAAGCTGCACATTTCGTCTACATAAGCAAAGTCCGAAATGCACAAATTCGCATCGCTCAGCCACACTACGCGCCCACACTACCCCTAGTTCACCTGTTTTCTCGGCTTCTACTACTCACCTAGCGTCCTTATGGTTCTCATCCGACCCAGAAACAATTGTAGACACCGCCTGACCTGCTCCAGAGGAGAACTCTAACCCGGACTAGGAGCTAGAATCTAAATGCATGGGGGAATTTCCAGAATATGCTTCATTTCAAGGGTAACGTCTTCAAGCGTAACTTATTGCTTGACTCAAGCATAGAGTTACGCTTAAGTGTTACTAGTGTAAAAACTTCATCAAGCAATTCGTTTTTTTTTAAAGAAGATATACCTTGCCGGATTTATACCTATTGGGATGTACACTTGTTGGGAATCCGCGTTAAGGGGGGACCCTGGTGAAAAAATCGCCAAAATTGACAAAAATAGTATTTCCAAAGTTCATAGATAAAAATGTGCAAAGAAGGTTTCAGATTCAACAGGTTGAACACTTTTAAGATAAGTGGGTAGTTTCTTTATCATTTGGAAGGAAATAACATTGAGATCAGTTGTCGTTGGCTTCTACGCTCAACTTCACAGCTTTGCTCAGTCGACAAAAAATTTTGTCGTAGAAAGGCTTCATGCGTTCATGAGTCGTCTTGCTTGGACTCTATTCATTGATGACTTGGCGACAAATTTTAGTGACGGAATCTTGATATCAGCCCTACTTTTTTTAAAACACACCTAAAAGCTTGAAAAAAGGGAAAAAAATCGCTTTTTTTAAATGTTAATATTTGAAAACTGATATCTCAGGACAGAAGTTAAATTTGATAATTCCGTCACTAAAATCTCTTCTATACATCTTTAGGATAACCCAAAAAAATTTTCAAGACTTTCCGTTCCAATGAAAGACGCAGGAAGATTTTTCCCCAACGCTCTAAAAAACACTAAAAAGCCACTTTTCTCAGAGACCGTTCAAGATTTTGGATTGAATTTTGTTTTGGGAACTCACCATAATGAACCTAATAATTAAGCAAAGTTTCAACTTTCTGGGATTATTTTGAAGCCTACTTGAAAGTTTCACCAGGGTCCCCCCCTTAATTAAAATAAATTAAAATAGCGTATATCTGCTGGGAATTATACCTATGCATAACCAATGGACGTATCTGTGCATGCATAACTATGCATAAAAAAGTCCATAAGAATTTAGTGTGTGGGATTGTACCTGGTGGGACTGTATACCTGCTGACATCACCTAGTCTAAGCGGGACTCATTTAGACATGCTTGTGTTCCTTAGAAATATTTCCTATGAAGAATGGGTTTATGGCTTTGCCAAAGCACACTCATAGTTATGTTTCGGAATAAAATGCTGCTAAGATGACCAATAACACAATTTTTCTTCATTTTCCTGGTTTCCACAATAAATATAGCAATTTTAGTAAAAAATATCAAAAATTGGAACAAAAATCGATTTTCAATGAAATCGATTTTTTTGTTTCGATTTTCAAATCGACGTATCGAAAATCGATTTGCGTTGTCGATCTACCAACCCTACTCCAGATTATCATTCTTTAGATGAGTTGTAGCATCATCCATTTTATTACGTTCCCATGTAAACCTGTTCATTCTGAAATCCATAGACATCGGATGTAGATTGGGGTAACTTAATATTTGTTTATTTTGGTTTAATGAACTTATTAAATTATACCCTTCAATATGTGATGCTTTTCTTAAGTTTCTCCTTGTTTTCTAGATCCTGCTTTCCCAACAAGACCAAAGACGCCTGCAAGGCCTCTGGAAACTCCCAAAACACCACGGACTGTAAGGACTACTTCCATGCGGGCTCCTGCTACTACTCCCAGAGCAACACCTGTCGTCTATCAGATGTCTTGTGAGGTATGCACTATGATCTTTACGCTTTTCATTCTTGAACCAAAATGTTCCATCACTGACCAAACTATTTTCCATTATTATTAGTGCCCATAAAAAAAGAGCTGCTTCAAAAATCGAACCCCTTGATGTCCGTCCGTCCGCGAAAAATAAGATATGGCAACCCCGTTTGCGCCAAAATGTAGGTGATAGAAGTGGCTATCGCATGAACTACAACCATAAACATCGAGCTATCGAAAGTACAAATATTTTACGAAGAAAAAAACTGTTTTGATCGATGTTGCAAGATCCTCAAAACTTGTTTTTGGATGAAATTTTCTCGTAGTTGACCGGAAATTATGCGATAGCCCCCTCAATTACCTAAATTTTGGCGGAAACGCTCGGAAGGGCTATTAAGCGAAGCAAGGTGAACAATAGATTTATTTAATACACGTAAATCTTAACTCGTCAATCTTAATAAAAGAAAATACATTGGTTCAAAACGACGACAATCTTTACATTCTACATTTACGGGTTCGCTAAGAACCATATTTCATACAACTTAAATGTGTAAGAGAACTACAATGGAAAACCATAAGAAAGGCTTTACAGTGGCAACCAGGACTAAAGCCGAATAGAGTCGATCGTAACTAGGCACAACTTAAATTGAAAACAAAATTTGAAACGTTGGGGAATACAGATTTCATTGGCTCGTGTCAGTCGTACTCATCCATGGGGTCGTACATGTAGTCGGGGAGCACCCCCCATTGGGGAGCCCTTGGAGCGATGCATCCGTCGCACGTCACCGGCGTCTTGGAAACGCCGTCCCTCTCCAGCCCTTGACGAAAGGTCTGGCACGCGTTCTTTACGTGAGATGGTCCACTGCAAAAAACAATAAAATCAATACGGATGTAGTGAGAGAGGGTGTCCTTCCCTCAAAGGAACTTTCGAGAGCCCCTTCAACCCCGAGCGGCCTCTGATATTCTCTAAACCACGCCCTTCAAAAGCGTGGAAGTTGCACAGTTTAACTTCGATGTGCAATCGGAATCTAGTCAAATCAGCCACTTGTGGGGAGTCAATAGTGAAATTCTTACTTCACTCAAAATGGATTCCACAGCGAAAAGATGTTAAAATTCGAAGCCGCACTAAGAAAAGATTCAAACTTTAAACCCAATTTGATCATTTGGGTATATTTTCGGAAACCCTTCTTGCTCACAGTAGTTTGTTGTAAAAAGTTGTTGTCAACATTCATTCCCCTTTGCTAATTGATTTTTAAAGGATTGCAGCATCAATACTCATTATGTGCGTCACTTAGCCGTAACGTTTTTAAGCCACTAAAATTATAATTGTTCGTCACATTTAAGATTTAAAAGCTTGACAACGGTAATAAAATGGAAATTTTGAGCTGGGTGCCAGAATCTTGAAAAATGAATCTAAAATGATAAAAAGTGAAAAATGTCAAGGCAAACTTTTTCGACAATAAACAACAGTATGTATGTGCATCGAGGATGTTCAAGCATTTTGACCGCATGTGCCTTCAAATATTATCTTAAGTAAGTAATACTACAGACTACTAACCGATTCTAAGAGGAGCCCCATTTCAAAAAACGTATGATTTTCACCGAAGAAAAAATTGAAAACAGAACAATGCACGGCAAAAACGGTCCCTTAATTTCCCAGGACCTCTCTGGCAATCGCCTGTGGTTTTCCTATAAGCTTCACTACAAACCTTACCGTCTACTTAGCACGCACTGACAAATGCAAATGCGTAGCCTAGAGTTATATGGCGCCAAACTTGAAGTTGTAAGTGTATACTTGCCAAGCATGCATTTAAAAGTGCGTGCTTAGTAGACAATTAGGTTTGTAGTGTATCGGAGAAAGCGAGGAAGAACTGTTTATGCCGTGGGACTTGATGACATTCCCCTTTTCACACTGAGAAAACCTTACTAACTATTTTGGGCCTTACAAAGAAAAGTAGTTTGTATAACAAAGTATTTTAAGCATACGTAAGCTAACAAAGAAAATACTTCGTAATTCACGAACTCTTTCTTCTCATAACAAAGTATTTTAGTTTGTTATGTGTATGCTCGAAATACTTCGTAAGGTTTTAAGAGTGCAGACCCGTCACGGGCAACTCACCCCTTGAATGCCAGTGTTTCCAGCTTCTTGCCCTGAAGCGCGGTGCGCAGATTCCTTTGGTCCACTTCCTTGACGGGGTTCAGCTTCACAGTGAGGCGGCGAAGCGACGCGCACTCGCTCACGGCCAGCGGCAGGCAATGCGCCGACACTTCTTCCAGGGACGTCGCGTGGATCCGCACCAAGGAGTTGACTGCCGCAAGGGCGACCTGAAGAGTGGAGACAGGGATCGTTGTACACTCTTAAAATCTTACGAAGTATTTTGAGCATGTAACTTAATCACTTTGTACTCCCAGGAAACAGGGGTTTACACACTACTTTACTACGTAGGTTTTTCTGCGCTTATGCACGAAATTAAACATGCACTTTGCAACGCACAAATTTGTGCGGTATAATGCACGATTTTCTACATACCCGCGCACAAAATCGTGCATTGCTGCGCACAAATTTGTGCGTTGCAAAGTGCATGTTTGATTTCGTGCATAAGCGCGCAGAAAAACCTACATAGTAATTTAGTGTGTACTACTACTAGGCGTCACTTCTCTACAAACTCAAGTGTCGACATAGTACACTCCACCTGGAGTCAACATAGCATGTACAATCTACCTGGAGCCAACCTGGCATGTACACTCCAGGCTGGAGCATGCTTGCCAAATGCACGCCAGGTGGCGTTTACCTGCAAGTACACTGTTGCTCTGCTTTACGTGCAAAGGGTAGGGGACTTCAGCAACAGTGTACATGCCACGTTGAAGCCAGGCTGAGTGCACATACCAGGTTGACTCCAGCGTGGAGTGTACATGCCAGGTTGACTCCAGCGTGGAGTGTACATGCCAGGTTGACTCCAGCGTGGAGTGTACATGCCAGGTTAACTCCAGCGTGGAGTGTATATGCTAGGTTGACTCCAAGTGGAGTGTGTCGACACTTGAGTTTGCAGAGTACTGCACTGCGAGAAAAAGTGTGGATAGTGCAACAAAAGTAACAACAAAAACTGTACAATAAAAGTACAACAGGGATTGTTAAAAGTACAACGAAAATTGTACAATCCACAACGAGGCCTGGACTGCACAGCACTCGTCATGCCGATTCCATTGTACTTTGTACAACAATTGTTGTACTTAAAAAGTACAATAAATGCCTGATAACAAATTTGCCAGCAATTTGTGTACTTTTGTTGTGGTTATATCTAGCAGTGTGTCGTGAGTATTTAAAATTTGCTCACATAGGTACCGCATTGGAGCTTCGTGACCGTGCCGTTTCCCACGGAGTCGTCGGGCAGCGTGGGTACGTCGTAGTTGAGAAACTGTTTCTCCCATTTAGGGTGTGCTAGTTTGTACAGTACAGTGAGCGCCTTGAGGTGCGGCAGCTCCAGAGTCAGCTTCAAGACGTCCTCGGTGGGGTTCACGAGGGACAGCTCCTCCAGGTTGTCCCTTTGACGGGTGATGTAACTGGATGACCACTTCAGACGGCCATTCAGGTCTGCGCATCGGACCTGATCAACATTAAACAACATAAGAAAATCAAATTGTTAATTAACATTTTTTTTTACATTTTACTTGGCCCGTTTAGAGACATTAATGGTGTATATACTCTGAAAAACTGAGAAACTGGTGTTTTGGGCATTACAAACAAAAGCAGCTTGTATTGTAGTACTACGTCACCACGTCTTTTGAACGCACAAAAGCTTAGAAAGAAAATACTTCGTAAATTTACGCACTATTCGCATAACAAGCTGAAATCGTGCGCGCAGTAACACACACCATAAATACTTTTTCAGACCTTTTTCACGTGCATCATCGAAATGCCTCATTGGATGCTACAGCAAAATATTTGTTTTAAAAAATTGTTGTAAAAAGTTTGATTTTTCACATGGTAACGGCCGTCTGTATCATTCATGCAAGTCTTTTTCATTCAGCACTGGAAAAACAAATTCTCCTTATTTTGATTTTTAGACCCAGAGAAAAATAAAAAAAAATGATTATTTTAGACCTAGGTCCAAACAGAAAATTCGTAAAGAATTTGAAAGAACGATCACAAAGTGCTACTGCCCCCTTAAGAGATCTTTGCCCTAGCAGCTGTACTTTACAAGTTACCCTTTGTATGTTGTTGGCTAGCCCGATGACATGACTGTTGAGCTCTTACCTGACACTTGGATTGAGTGTTGATAGCTTTCTTTGCTGCAGGCTTCATGCCGAAGTGACAAATGACCCTTGCGAGGCGGGGCGCAAACCTGATGACTCGAGCAAAGTGTTGGGCATCCGTGTGCCAACTGCGGCTGTGGGAACGGTAGGACAGGCTGCGATGTGCCCACACGAAAGGCTGTAACAAAAAACGAGAAGCAACTTCAACTCTAAATTTCCACTGACATTTTTCTTTTGTCCACACTTCATGGACAAATATTTTATCTGCGGCTTATGGTGATAAAAATATCAATCGAATACATTGGTTACTTTTCTCAGAATGATCATTTTTCGAAACCTCTGCATTTTCACTGGTGTGCCCCCTTAAGGCATTATTGTGTCACATCATAAGTACCTTATGACGTTGAAATTTCTTTTCAGAATAGTATATGGAACTGACGAAGCAAGGGGGATGAGTCCGAGGGAAGAGAGGTAGCCGGTTCCGTCCCCATCTTACATTACTGATCAAGTTTTTTCCTCCATACAAAGAAGAAAATACTTGGTGAGATCTGATTAAAGTTGTGTCGAAAATGGGCTCCGAAGATCATGACTCACCATTTTAGCTGCAGAACGCCAAGCAAAACATGTCTGCCCGACCGACACGACGCCCGAGTTGGACAGATACTTCAGGACCTGCACGACGACGTCCGCCGGCAGCGTGTGCCAGTTGCTACCGCTCCACTGGGAAAGCTGCAGACATGGGCAAAACATGTAAAAGAGCCCATTAGTATAACTAAGGCATCCATGATGTGCCCTAATAAGGTTCACGCCAAAGTGTGAGACCGTCTTCCACTTGAAGTGGCGGTGCGACGTCTCAGACCTACCTCATTGGACCCCAAACGTTCCAGCCGTACTACTGGGACAGAAGGCCCTAGCTTGGGATCACCGCATTCCACGAAGACCTTTGAACTGTGCTGTAACTGTTGAAGAACAAGGTAAAGCAATCGGGCGTAATTGACAAACTCATACATACAATGCATTCGGGTTCACGCAAGTTCACTACACCCTGAAGCATGTGCCTGGCATGTACGTTCACTTTAGATGGATCATGTCTATCACCCTGGCATGTGCACTGTTGCTGAGTTCCCTTGCGCATGTACGGTATAGCAACAGATGACATGCGCCACCTTCAGAGTACCCGAACAGGCACACTCTAGGTGAAGTACATAAGGAGGCATGAGGCAAACTAAAGCGTGCTGTGTGTACTCTTCAGTTCAAAGAGTTTGCACTCCAAATAGGACCACTGGTAGGCAACGAATGTGACGTCATATTCGTTGCAGTGTGAATTTTGTCACGTTCGTTTGAATACATGATGTCACATTCGTTTGAACGTGACTCGGTTATTTTCAAACGAATGTGACATAATATTCAAACGAATATGATGTCACATTCGTTGATAACCAGTGACGAAGCAGAACAAACGGACAACTCGATTTTTGACATTTCAGAGGAGAAGCAAAACACGATTTGCACTGCAATCTAATCCTTAACCAATGAATTTCTTTTACCTATGCGAAAATAGATAAAACTGCCAGAATCTGATTACTGCGTACCTAATCCTATGTCGTGAGCAGAATTTGAGAGAAACGACTAGAAGTTAGCGCAAACATCCATAACCGAGTCCATAACTCAGAAACTTAAATGAGGTTGGGCCCCACTCGTCATGTATGAGTTAAGGCAATAGAAAGGAACTTTTTCCCGAAAATTGAGACATCTGACACAAGTATTTTAAAAAAATGTTGGTCACTAGTGTTATTTTACAATAACCTCTCTCTCTCTCTCTCTCTCGCGCTCCGTACACAGTGAGGTGGGCCTCTCGGCAGCAAAGAACTTACCTCTCTGGACTCCAAACGAACCAGCCGCACGACGGGAACAGACGGTCCTAGCTTGGGATCTGAGCACTCCATGATGTCCTCCCCACAGTGCTGAAACACATGTAAAATGAGAAGTTACGGCGGTAAGACCTTTACCTTCGGAAAAGCTGTTAAAGTACACTCCAATATCCTACTGAGCTTTTTCTTCGTACTACGAACAAATATCTCTGCATTATGACCGATTTGTGTCGTAAAGTACACGGCAAAACCAACGTCCGGGTTTCCCAGGCGCACCCTGGAAAAATGCCCTGTTTTTCCAGGGTGCGCCTGGGAAACCCGGACGTTGGTTTTGCCGTGTACTGAGATTTAGCTTAGAATTATGACTGTACGGCATTTCTCAGCAGAAAATTGGGAGTGTAAATGCAAGAAGTCCACGAAGAGCCGCTTCGTATAAAGAATATAGATCAAAAGACATAGTAAGATGGGCTCGGGGATGTTTTTCGCAGGACGTACTCGACGATTTTGGACCAAACGTCAACACAAGACACATTTGCCAGAACCTAACCTCTCCCAGGATCTAAAAGAGCAGGTCAGCACTCAGGCGAGCCTGGGGTTAAGAACAAGAGGAAAAAAGGCACCGACACCTGAATCAGAAATCAGCCTCGCACGGAATTTGGCTGTTATCATACAGTGAAATTTCTTAGAAACGATACCACGGAGATCTGGAACGAAAATTGAGCAGAAATTTCGAGAATCAAAGTATGCGACGTTAATAAGAACGAGCATCATCGCCGTCTGCCGTCTCCGCAGAACTGTACTGTAATAAAAATTCTGGTTTTGATTTATTCGACTTCTTGACTTCCGGTCTAGCTCTTATCCGGTCTACTCTGTTTTGATTAAACAAAACCGAAGCAAACACTGCCAGTAAAAGTTTTACTGCCTGTTTCCGGCTGTTGTTCTTCCACTCTCATACCGGAAACGTGCCATCACAAAGAAATGTGACAAGATTCCACGTTCCTCTGAGCATTGTGCCAAATTCGTTTGGATGTGGATCAGCTACAAAGTAACTTTAGGAGCCGTTCAAGAACGACGTCACACTTTTTTGAAGATGATACCATCACACTTTAAACGTACCCAAAACTACAAGACACATGAAGGTGTCGTCAGCTAGCTTTTACTCCCGAAAGTCGAAACCAAGCGCGTATCAGGGTGCTGGCTTCCGGGCGGGATCGGGAATGTCGCATGGCTCGCAGTCTGCGCGGAACATTGACAATCACTCCCCGGGCACAGCGCACGGAACAGCAACAATGCCTCACGGCTCGGCACGGCTCAGCGCACTCGGGGCGCGGCGCGGCAGGCCGCAGCTCGGCTCGCACCAACACTGTCCAGCTCGCTTAGGTCTATGTATTTGATTGGTCTATCTTTTATGTTTCATACACAATTTATATACTATTATTGGAATAAGCCCATACCAGGACCTACTAGAAGAAAACCAAACGAGCATCATCTGCTTTCATTGACGAAGAAGGAAATCGTTTGCAAGACAAACGATTGTCTTTGTAATGCAAAGGAAAAATTCTTCGTAGCCTACGAATAACTTCTTTGCAGCCTGCGAATGATTTTTCCTTTGTATTACAAAGAAAATCGTTTGTAGTGTAACAAACGATTTCCTTCGCAGACTTCGCAGACCGCCGTCTTTTTCTTATTTCAAAGAGCAGTTCTTTCTAGGAATTAACCTGTGAAGATGAAGACGATAGAATCTTCCGTCACAGTTTAAGGTTTACTGATAGAATCCTTGTTCACTAGGGAAAACACGTAGAACAAAAGTAAGAACCAAATCCGCTACTGCGCAGACGTCCCCCCCTCGACTCTGAGCTGGCGTCTGGGCATGCGCAGAAGCGGTTACATTTTTCTTACTTTTTTAGGCACGAAGTAGCCTTATAGTATACCCAGGACTCAGCCGGCTCGAGATTTGATTTGTGTGGCCCTTTATGCATTTCGGAAGTTTTCTATACGATTTTAATGAGATTTTGCAGACTAGTAGAACTTTGAACGCTGATTCTGATGTTGAAATCTGGTCAAAAATTTGGTGGCCAATTTTGAGAAATTTGCTGTCAAAATCGCCGTTTCCATGGCAAAACTCGACTCGTCAAAGGAAAAAAAAGGGAGTGGGGGGAGCCGAGCCGGGGCGGACCAATAGCGGAGCTTCTTTTTGGGTCTGTACAGCTTACTCCAAAAGCTGAAAAAGCAACGTTCGAAATGAAAAATTTCTTTGACTGCAGGTAGACAAGATGCAACAATAGAATTGGTGCCGGTTCGAACGCAGTTTTTCGGGTAGAACTATCCAATAATACTTCTTGATTGGAGTGTTTTTGGACATGCGCAGTGTTGTTGTTGTGATTCAGTTAGCACTAGGACCACTTCGCTCCACCTCGCGACTTGCAGTGCTCATGTTCCTCGAACAAGACTCACCCGCGTTTCGAAACCATCCCTCCCGAGTTTATGAAGTTTGTCAAACCAACCGTCGTGGTGTTGATACGTTGTAAGGGAGAACTATTACACAGAATTGAAGAAAACATGACTAGAGAACCATAGCCTTTTGAAACAAGCCAAACAATTCAACGTCCACAACAATGGAGGGGCAGTTTTAATGCGCGACTGCTGGCGCTTTCAGCTTCGCGATTTTCGCAAGGGCGCAGACGCCGAGAAAATAGTTGCCAACCCGAGAAAATTAATTTACTGACTTCTTTCTGCTAAGAACATTTTAATCATGATGGACTTCAAAGATGTTCCATTGTCAGAACACTGCGGAATACATTAGCATTGGAATTTTTTGAATTTACCAGCATTTTGATTTCTATTTATTGTCAAGTTTAAATTTCGACGGATGGCACATCGACCACATTGGTACCACTGCCATTGGTAGTCCCCTGAGCCACAACTTCACAACACCACTTCTTTTCTTTCTCCACACTCTTACACAATAATCAAATTGACTTCGTGACTCCTAGGATTTCTTGAAATCGTATTTTTTTTCTTTCACTTCCGGTCTGGGAATCCGTTTAGATGCCTTACTCATTTGCCTTAAAACGTGCGTACCATTCTAGCAACGATTTGTTTAACGTGTGCACTGAAATTAAAAGAGTGCGACATCTCACCAATTTCCAGCGATACAAAATGTATCACCGAAAAAAAAAGATCGCACACAAATGTATCACCGAAAAAGAAAAAGGCCGTGCACAAATGTATCAGCGAAAAATTAAGTCGTTCACGAATGTATCACCGAAAAATAGGTCACTTTCATCACCGAAAAAAGGTCAGACATCAGCGAGATAGGGTATTCCGGAGCATATATTTCTCATAAAAACTGCCATTTCTTACTTCCGTTTTAGTTCTTCTTCATCCGGGCCAGAGCTGCTCCGAAATACACTATTAGCCGTTGTTTTCCTGAAGAAGAATTATCCTTTTACGGTGTTACAGTTGTGTTCGAACTTTTTCCGGTGATACATTCGTGAACGACCTTTTAATCGGTGGATACACTCACCTCTCAGAGTAAGATGTATAACTAATAGCGTTCTTCGGAGAAGTGCTGGACCGGAAGTTGAAAAGAAATCAAGAAGAACAAGGTATGCGAAATTTGGTGAGAATGAGCGTCTGCCTCGCCGTTCTGCCGCTTCCGCAGATTCTCATACAAGTCCGGCGTTTGTTCCTCTTGATTTCATCTCCACTTCCGGTCCAGCTCTTCTCCGCAGCACCATTGATTTCAGTGTGACCGCTGTCGACAAGGACTCAAAGAGAGCATTCCGAAGCGGCTCTGGCCCGGAAATAAGAAATGCCAAATACAAATCAGCTGAAATAACCTCAAGCAAAAGAAATCTTGGAACCTCACTCCAGATCGAATGACGCTAATTTCGCGCGGAAGGGTGTTGCACACCAGAAACTTAGGTGAAACTTCAAAGCCACTTCAGTGCATCCGCGCGTTTGTGGTCGTGGCGGGACCTCTGCGCACTGAAAGTGACTTGGAAATTTCTCATGGGAAACGGACTTCAGAAGGTTGTTTGAAAACAAACAAGTGGACAACTTACGGCACGTCGAAGTAGACCCAGACCGGAAGTGAACTATGAAACGAGAAATAGGGTGCTTCGGAGGAAACCTAGACCGGAAGTCAGCGACAAAACGGGAGAAACAGAAGAGCGTCGCGCGGCTGTGTTGAGCGGTGGTGGGGGCCGGAATCGGAGGAGTGGGGGTAGCATGCGCGCGCCGCCTTCACCCCCACTCCGGCGATTCCGGCCCCCACCACCGCTCAGCACGATCGCGCGACGCTCTTCTGTTTCTCCCGTTCTGTCGCTTACTTCCGGTCTGGGTTTTCTCCGAAGTACCCTATTGAGGAAAAAACGATGTCTAGTCAGTGTTTGACGGTGGTGGGGTCTAAGGGTGACCACTTCAACCCCTCAACCGATTGGGGCCCCCACCACTGCCACTCTACAAATCGAAAAGCGTACATTGTATGCACTAACTGGAGCATGCCTGCAAGCACGCTCTAGCGCATGCCTGCCAAGCATGCACTTCTTAAGTGTATACATGCCATGTACACGCTACCTGAAGCATGCATCTAGTGCATAAGGGACAGGGAGTTGCCCGCGCCAGGAAGCGTGTACATGGCATGTATGCACTAATAAGAGCATGCTTGGCAGGCATGCGCTAGCTAGAGCGTGCTTGCAGGCATGCTGCAGTTAGAGCATACAATGTACGCTCTTCGATTTGTAGAGTATGCGGGGCTGCTCTACACCCTCGTCTCACTGACTTCCGAACGGGATCTTTCAGTACCGTAATATATTCAGCTGACAGTTCTGATCTTTCCTCTGAACGAGCAGCAGTTGCCTACTACTAGAGAGGTCTATTGGTCACAGAAAAGCTAGGGACGAAGCTCATCACAACATGTGGCCGCACCGACAGGATACAATTAAAATTAGACTTAAGGTGTTTTAATGAATCCCTCACACTAAATGTTTAAGTACAATTTTGTACGTGGTGATGCATAATTTTAAACTTGTGTGCCGTCGTGCATAAAATTGTGCGTGAATTTGCATAAATTTATGCATTTTCACGCA